CTATACGGATTCTTCGTTATACGGTGCGCTCGTTAAGCGAGGCACCACTGTATTTAAATTGGATTAGTAAAATATTTCCATAACTTTATTGATACTTATGGGATCTTCTGAAATTTGGTACCACAGGCTAAACTTTAAGGCCATGAAGTTATCACAGATCTACAGAACTAGGTGTGGCCTTCCAAGCCTTGTCGTCAACACACTGCCTCATACAGATCATCTAGCACTAGATCATCTATAATGAATCTGTCTGTTCAAGCTGTCCAGAAAAAAAAATCTTCCACCAGCTATTTGGTTGTACCATTAATTATTGTTACCATAAAGAAGTTATTTCTTATGTTTAAGTGAAATTTCCCTGTAATAGAACATTATAGACCTCTACGCCTAGATCCAGAACTCTAGAGGAGGTCTATCAATTAATTTACAAATGTCATGTAGGCTTTTGCTGTTGTAGTTTGTTCTTGACTCTGAGGATCTGTCCTTCCAGGACTCATCTTGTTTTATGGTCAGCATTCATTTTTATTCTACTCTAACTTTTTAGGTATTTTTCTTTCCTATCCCATTGACACTCTTAAAGACTCATGGGAAGAGGGGAAAGATTTATGTACCTTAAGAGCCTTGTGGCGCAGTGGTTAAACTGTTGGACTGCAGCCAAAACTGTACTCACGACCCGGGGTTCAATCCCAGGAAGCCAGCTCAAGGTTGATTCAGCCTTCTATCTTTCTCAGGTTGGTAAAATGAAGACCCAGTTTGCTTGGAGGAGGGCAATGGACAATGTAGCCTGCATAATTAACTTGTAAACTGCCCAGAAAGTGCATGAAGCACTATGGGGCAGTACATAAGCAGCACACTTTTTGCTTTTTAAGAGGTAGAAAACAGACACAGTAAGTTCTGCCTACAGGAACTTGCTGGTACAACATCTTGTTTGGTCTGTAGTGGTTCTTTTTTTATAACTAAAACAATATGTATTTAACAATAAATTAACTGATATGAAACCAGACTGAATTTCAAGGCATTCAACTAGTAATAATGAACATTTGATACCAAACTGACTCTGATTTAGGACAACTCTTTCTAATGTTTTCTAGACACAAAATAGTTCAGAAATGGTTTACATGTAAAATAATAATAAAGAAATGGTTTACTTCTTCTGGCACTCTAGGATGCTACAGTTGTGCAAAGACACTCAGTCTTGCTTTTCTTCCAAGGGGCACAGTGGGGAATCCAACTTTTGATGTTCTGATCGAGTAAGCTGTTCAATTGCTACAGGCATATAAAATGTGGTCCCCAAAAATAATTTGGGTGAATAAAACTATAACCTGCAAATGAGTTGTCAAAAGCCAAGGGAACCTCTGAACACAACAAGCTCTTTGGCTTATCTAACCATGTGGCTTTAAAGTCCAACTGTAGGAAGGTGAGAAATAGCCAACTATGAAGTTCAGATGCAAACAGAACTCAGATGGAGAAAGAACAGGTACACACTTTCAGAATCAAGGAACAATAAACAATTCATCAAGCACTAGTTTTTGCTTCAGACAATACAAAAATGCAAGACTATTTTCTCCTCATATTTGTATAACTTGAAGATAATGAGGTAAAAAGCCCCTCTGGGGCAAGGATGCAGAAACAGATGAATGTACAGCATTACTTCACATGTTGCCTGGTTTAGCACTGATTTGCTACAGCGCTCATACTTAGACAACCATTTTGGGGTGCTCAACAGGGGCCACATCTACTTATGAGGTAGACTGGGCATTTGGGAGATGTGGGGCCCGGTCTCTATGCTGATGTTCCCATAAAACACAATGTTAAAATGACCACATTTAGAAGTCAATTTTTGGGGTTGTATCCTCAGCCCTAACTGGGTTACTCCTGTATATTACTAAACACTATAGCGCAATATTTCAACAACAACAACAAAAGATCTCACAGCTGACTATTCATACTAGAAAATACCACCATTCTACAAATCTCTGGAATGAAGCATCACAACAGAATGTGCCATACTGATGTCTTTGCAATATTTTAAATGCATATGTTTTTATTCTCCATGGTTTTTTCAAGTTTGTCTGCTAGCTCAAATGCTAGCAGTTCCACCTCCAGTACCCAGAACTGGACCAAAGTCTTCCTAACTCAGCACTGGCTTAGAACGTGGCAAAATCCAGATTCTTTCTGAAGCTCTCACCTGCAATTGAATAGTTCCACATTTAAACAAGTTCTCCAACTCCCTAGAGAACAAGGTTCATGAGAGTAATTGGGGAAAAATAAAATAAAATCATACAATCAAAGAGCACAGTGGTCTCTAGCAACAATTATGGTAAGATGGAAAACAACAGGGCTCCTGCCCCTTTAACTACTGTTCAGAAAAGGAATTTCAGGAATTGTAGCATATCACTCTATACCTGCAATCACTGGTGGCTGATGAGCAGACAACAAGAAATGACCACCATAAAATGGAGCAAGCTTCCCTGGCTTGAACTACCAGCAACTGATACATTCTGCCTGCTTTTGCATCCCATTCTATCTCCAGGTTATCCTCCTCTCATAAGATCTCCAACATTAGAATTAATCTTAGCTGGTCAAAAAGTAACTGAGTATCATAAACACTACTTTCGCTGTTTAAATCATACCACCATCATTTTTTCTACATCACTGAAGTTCTTTGGTCCTGACTCTTGATAAAATTTTCTTGTTTGTCTTCCTTTTTCAGAAACCAATAGTTTTAAGCCACCGAATACTGTATGTTTAAGATTACAGTATTGTGCTCTGGCTTTCCTCTCAATGAATAAATATTTATTTGAACTTAAAATTCAACATTGTGAAAAGATTCATTTCTGACCCAGCTGAATAACTGTCTCTGCAGGGACCACAAAATAAGCAGACGGTAGAAAATAGCTACTTACCCAAAGTTAACCAGAATTCTGAGGTCAGGCCATAAAGGTTGAAAGTCAGCATGCTCTCTACTTTGACAAATTGTGTAACCTCTAGCTTTGCTATACTATTAAGAAGTTCCAGTTAGAGGGAGTTGAAGATCACATCATTTTTGGACACTACTGATTTAAAAACAATTATTAAAATCCCTTCACTGGTCATGTCTTAACTACTCTTGTGAAGATGATCATTACATTCTCTTAAGTCAATTTTGACTTATGGTGACTTTCTCCAGGGTTTCCTAGGTATAATCAGAAGTGATTTACTGCTCACTCCTTGTAGGAGCATCCTGGGACCCTACAGCTTGCCCAAGGTATACAGGCTTGGTCTTCTTCCAGGAGGCACAGTGGGGAATCAAACTTTCAGACTTTGGGTCCATAACCAAGGAGGTGCTTCTACTTTCTCCTTCTCCCCACAAGACTTGTGTTTAGGAAAGGATGCAGAAGCAGCAAGCTCATAAAACAGCAACAAGGTGTTTCCCCACATCATTTACCTATCCATGTATTTGTTCTCAACTGAGAAAGGAAGAATAAAATTAACCCATTTAATTGTAGTGAATTGTCACGTTTAAAATTTGAAAAACCTAGCAGGAAACTATGATTCATGTTCTTTGGTATTTTCTGTTTCACTTCATTGTTCTACATGTATAACCAGCCCATAGATAGGCATTGTCACAAGAAGATTACTGCTTTATTCATGTAGCATGTATGAACTTAGTAAAGATTTTTAATAAGGATGATGCTCCCTTCATTTAGGAGAATAGATAAGGAGGAGCAATGAGCTGAAGCAGATTTCAAAGGCCCCAATTAACCTGAGAGAGAGAGGCCATGTGAAACACATGGTCAGGAACCAGGGCCAGGCATAAAAGGTGGGCGGAGATTAGGCCTCTCGCTAGAAGAGCAGTCAAAATCTTCCTTCAGGTTCCATCATCAGCGTGTTCAGCCTCCATAACCACCAAAGCTGCCTTACCAGGCCTTTATCTGAAAGAAAGATCATCCTCTTCTTCCCCATCCCTGGTTATTTTCCATGGTTACACCTCACTCTCGGAACAGTTGACGTAACCCTCAAAACACCCCTGAGCATGTGTAGACTGCGCCACGAAAAGGCCTCTCCCACAGATTTCAAATAAGGAAGGGGGGGAGGAGAACGAGGGTTTTCCACAGAAGCCCAGGCCGCACGGTTTAAAAGGCTCCGGCCCCGACCCCCTTGGCCTCCCGAATTAAATAAATGCGCGCAAAGCCACTCCCAGGAGCGAAGAAAGGGAAAGAGAGTCCACCCCCACCGCCTCAGGCCGAGGTAGGACAGCCAACGCTTCCCCCACCCCACCCCCGCCTTCCTCGCTCGCAGGCCGGGGGCCCCAGCCTACCTTAGCCACGTAGTCCTTCACCTCGTCCAGGTCTCCGTTCTTGAGGGCCCACATGAACTCCTTGTCCGACATAGCGGCGGCCACCCTGACGGGGGAGGGGGGGAAGATACGGCGAGAGGGCCCGGCAGTTCTCTCACACGAGGAAGAGGAGGGGCGGGAGGAGGAAGAAGGGGCCGGAGGGGCGGGGCTAGGCGCAACCGGAAAGGGGTGCGGTGGCGGGAAAAAAAAAGAGTCCGTTAAACGGCCGTTACGACTCCCAACGGCCTGTGCTGCCTACGGCGGGCGCCCCTGTCAGGAAAAGGCCGGCAAAATGGGGGAAAGGCTGCGCAACTAACATCCAATAAGGTGGCGGCATATGTGCTGTAAGCCTATATATATAGTTCGTATATGGCTACACACCGCTTCCGGCGGCTACTCCTTGGGTCCGCCCACTCAAAAAAAAAGAGGCAAGCCTACCGAAGCACGCATGCGCCACGGGAGATCATTTATCTTTGCATCTACGTGTTTTCCCTCCCCCTTTTTCTTCCGATGGCGCTCCAAACAGGTAACCCGAGAGTTACTACTCTCTGGAGCATGCGCAGTGAAGAGCGTCTAAGTCGCCCCTGGAAACCGGCGCGAGCGGGCGAGGAGTAATGCGCATGCGTTTATTTCACCGGACGTGTTTTTTTTCCCCCCCAAGTTTAAGCGGTCGAGAGAATGTGTTGCTTCGCCCCATGTGCAGAGGGCTTGGCATCTGTTGGTCGTCGGTATTTTTCCCACTTGTTGGGACTTTTAAGTCGACAAATTTCCATCGATTTCGGTTGACGTGCATCGTAGTCTTCCCTATGTTTTCTGTTGTGTGTTGTCAGGTCGCCTCTACCTTAAGGGCGATTCCCGTGCATGAATGACCTGGAAAAGGTTCATTAACAGCCACGCCCGGATCCTGCAAACTAAAGATCATGGTTCCGTTTTTGGGTTAATCTGCCTCATGTTAGGTCCTCTTTTCCTACGTGTTCCACGTTTCCTGGGGGTGTTGTCTTAAAATTGTGATTCTAGAACTCCGAATAAAGCGCACTGAAATATATAGGATTTTTAATATGAGTAAGTTTTAAAAGGCTTATGTGGGGAGTAAGTCCTTAACAGGATGAATTTTATTCCTGATTATAAAACTCAGCTGCAATCTGCTGTAAATCTACTTGAATTTAGTGAGCAGCTGAGGACTACATGTGTTTGCCATTGCTATCAGTGGAAATCATTATCATAATTCCTGGTCATTATCTATGGCCTGGAATTAATACAGTTACCAATCATTGTTTGCAGAACATTGCTTCCTGGAAGCGAAACGGGTTTTAAAAGCATTGCTAGAGCAACAAATTGTGCCCAAATACATGTATCAATGTATAAACTATTCACTTAAGTCCCACTCTTCTCTGAGAAAGTGGACTTGTCTATGAATGCTCACATGAAAATAAAGCAGCTACTCTTTAAGGTGCCCCCACGTTTTTGCTTTCTTAATTTTTTTCTTTTGTTTTTGCCTGATATGCTAGCACAGGCTAACATAGCTGTCTCATCTAAAACTATCCCAACTAAGTGTGTAAATGGTCACAACCTTAATTTGAAGGAAATAAAGATCAGTTATCAAGCTGTCATGCAATCCTTCTAGTGGTATGAAACTGGAACTTTTGTGTGGTAGCACACTGGGATATTCTGATTAGTAAGGAGAATGGTATTGGCCCCTTCAAGCTTCCCTAGTCCTTCTGTGTTTAACTGCAATCTTCACAGCAGCTGGTGTGTGCAGAATATTTGCTTCAACAGCATTTTTCATTATGCTAGCGTGAAGTATTTAAAATTAATTCAAGAAAAGATCTATATGGTTGAATTTTATTGACAATAAACTCACAACTGTGGGATGAAACCAGAGGTTATATCAAGGAAGAATGAAAAAGGCTATTCATGTTGTCAAAAGAGAATAATACTATAGCCTCAATGGATGAATGATGAAATTTTTAGATTTATTATGAACAGCCTAAAACCAATAGTGAAACAGGAACAGCATCAGAATTCCAAATGCAACTTTTTAGCAACTCACATGTTGGACAAAGAGAATTGTTACAACAGTAACTGAAAAGAAATAGTACAACAAAAGAGGAAAAAGAAGTACTGTAAGTTCCATAATTTGAAGGAAATTAAAAGCCAAGAAATCAGTGAGATTTAAATGTTGAATGATTAATTTGAAAATATATCTGATTAGGATAGTGGGATAGAACAGAAGTTGAATACAGTGTGCTAAAGAACTGTGCAGAAGGATAATGGATTCCTTCAATTAAGAGTTTTTGATGAATCTGGAATTTTAGACAGTGAACTAAAAGCTGCTCCCAAAGAAATTGGAAGAAGTAAATCACTGGTAGAAGTGTAAGTTAGAGCTATTCTAAGCTACAGAGACTGGATCTATAAAAATCTTAATAGGAATATGCCAGCAAACATAAAGACAAAACAATGGTTGGAATCGTGTTGCTTCCCATAGTAAACTACAGTAGAGTAGTCCCATTGAATGAATACATTCTTTTGATTCAGATGGACCTCTAACCACAACTTAACTATGCTAAAGTAACTTGCAGTTAGACTAGATCAATTTGAATCAATGGAACTTACAGAGGTGGTGATTTGCCATATCTCTATTGAATTAGTGGGCCTCCTGTAGTGTGATTTACTACTGTAAGCAACTGACTTTTCACCCATAGACAAGAAATGCTTGATATAGTTTCCAGTACCAAAGAATTATTGTGCTAAAGATTGCAGGCACTATAGGAACATGGCATTATTTTCCAAAGTGATGCTCTAGGTTTTAAAAACATAAACTAACAGTATATGCCAGATGTTCAAGTTGGATTCAGAAAAGGAAAAGACACTATTGCCAATATGCATTGGTCAGTGGAGTACACCAAAGGATTTCTGAAGAAAATCAGATTGCGCTTTATAGATTACCCTGAAGCCTTTGTTTGTGTGGGTCATGAAAAGCTGTGGATTGTCCTAAAAGGAATGGGTCTGCCCCAACATCTGCATGAGTGTTGGGGGGAATCCGTGCCAAAAATACCATGAAAAAATCTTGGCAGCATCTGGGATGAATCGTTTTGATTTTCTGCAATTGTTGTTCATTTTTCAGTGGGTCCTGGGCTCTCTGAATTGGCCACTGCCAAATTAAAATATTCACAGCATAATTCTGTGCATGTTTGATAGTGAGTCCTTAAATGACAAATGCTTACTTTTGAGTAAATGTATATAGGATTTTCTTGCAGACATTCATTCGTCTGAGATGTGCCTTGGAGAACTCTCTCCAAAAACAACTAAAAGTAACAAGGAGGAGACTTGCAAGATTTCAAAATGGGTGTAACATTTATTGCAGTATTTAACAAGAAACCGGTATCTGCAAAAGTATTCCAACATTTTTCTCCTTCCAACAACTGGTCGGCAAGGGGTTTCCACTCATCATCTTTAAAGAGGTTTTCCCCTCCAGTGTTCCATTGTCCAGGCCAGTCTATAGACAGGTTGGGATTCAGTACCTGTCTGGTCTCCCCCTCCAATAAGGTGACTGTGTCCTCATCCTGGTTGTCCAACCAGGTGGGGTCCCGGGTGGGGGTGCACGTCTGCCAGGGTCGTCCGGGTATCCCCTCATCTGGAATTCCTTCACTCTCCATTCTATTCTTTCCCTTCTCTCTTGACCCTTTTCTTTTAATTTCCTCTGCCACTCCTTTGTCTTTTTCTCACCCTAATAAGAAGGCTTGGGGGTTATCTCCCTCCTCCTCCAGTAATCAGCCTCTACCTTTGGTATCTGGAGCTTCTCCCACTTTCCAGTCCATCGATCTTGCATCCAGATTCATCCCAACCTGGCGGCAATTCCCCTTCCTCCCCTTTTATATCTGCCAGTCCTGCCTCCACCTCCACCTTTGGCTTCCGTTCCTCTCCTGCCAAATCTTTCCTGGTCTCTTTGACCGTTAGTCTTTGAAAATCCTCCTCTATCCTCCCCGGGTTTGGTTCTGGTGGTCCTGTCTTTCTGGGAGGAGAAACAGGTACGGTTTGAATTTCCTTCTCTGCCGTGAGCGGGAGGGACGGCACTCCAGTGAGAGTGACCTTACTCTCTCCTGCAGTCTTACACAGGTGTGTAGGTTGGTGTGAGGAGAAGGAGCAAGGCAAAGGAAAATCTCGTGGTGGCAACAACAGAAACCGCTTCTTCTGCAGCCTCACCCTCACACCAGCTGGCATGCCCTTCGCACCAGTGCTACAATTGGGCTGTGCAATGGGCAAAAGTGTGTGAAGAGATCTGTTGTGTAGGCTCCTGGGTCTGGATGAGAAGGAAAGGACACTTCAATTTAACCATAATACATGCAGAAAGCAGTTCCATGCTGATACGAATTGCCTTCAGAAAAGGACAAAACAGGTGGCAAAGTCATAGATTTTGTCAATGAAAATATCAAATGAAGTCTTGACTCATTTGGAGGGTGGGAAACAGACCAGATATCATCAGTGACAAATCAGGGGCTTTTTGGAGAACAAATGCTCTGTCTAGAGGAGCCAGTGTGTGCCACTGAGCCACGCTACTGTTTGTTTGGTGGGAAAATATATGACGTAGGGATGGTATTTTGCCAAGGTTCCATCCCACCCGAGGCTCTTAGGAATACCCATTTCTGGAACCTGATTTCTCTAAGGCTTTTCCAAACTAGAATTTGTCTTCTGGACCCAAAAAAGATTCCCCACTGCTGGTGCAATGTCTGCCACCCATACTGTTCTCAGTGGCAAGTAGGCCTCAAAAGCTGATGTTCTGGCATAGGCTGTTCTTGAGACGACATTTTAGGATTCTTAAGCTCACCAGAAGAAACTTCAACCTGAGTTTGGAAGCATACTGAACTAGCTATTAAATGTAATCATTGCTTTGTGACGGCAATAGATTACAAGTATTGTGGATTCATATATTTAAATACAGTACAGCTGCTTGGCTATGAGGAAGCATCCTTTGTGCAGAGAGACCTGTCAACTATGCCTCATTAATTGGAACTAAATGTGTAGAGTATCCTTGAGTTGTTTCAATATCTTTTTACTTTCTCCTTTGTACTGCTGAACCTTGAAAATATAAGGAGCTTCAAGAGCTTTTGAAACAAATATGCATAACAAGGGTTAAGTGCTTATTAAAATTAATACAAATAACTAATTTGGTTATTTATAACTAAACATCAAGGCTCTTTTCAGTCTAAGTCATTATTGATTTCTCCAGCAAACAGAGAGTAAGCATTTTTTTTTGCATCACTAATCTTTTGTAGATTATTGAATTAAGTAGCTGAGTGGAGAGACCATTTGTCCCTCCTAGCCAGCAGCGCAGGGAGGCAGAGAAGTGCTAGCTATGTCTGAGATTGGCGCAACAAGCACGACGCCGTTTGTGTATGCTGCATGGTGACCCATAAATGGACAGGTCAGTTTGGGGAGGTGAAACTGGGCTTCCTGGCTACCTGGGCCCAGGGTATTTGAATTCACATACGAATATGAATATCACATCTCTAATTTAAAGGTGTGTGACGTGGTGGCACTGCAGGTTAAACCGCAGAAGCCTCTGTTCTGTAAGATCTGTAGATCTTCAGCTGTAAGTTCGAATCCATGTGACGGAGTGAGTGCCCGTCGCTTGTCCCAGCTCCCGCCACCTGCGGTTCGAAAGCATGCAAATGCAAGTAGATTAATAGGGACCACCTCGGTGGGAAGGTAACAGCATTCCGTGTCTAAGTTGCACTGGCCATGTGACCACGGAAGATTGTCTTCGGACAAAACGCTGGCTCTATGGCTTGGAAACAGGGATGAGCAGCGCCCCCTAGAGTCGAACACGACTGGACAAAAATTGTCAAGGGGTACCTTTACCTTTACCTTGTCAATAATTTTTACTATTCATATCTTGCACCATGATTCTATTTTTCTATCTCTATTTAATTTGTATCATGCCTTTCCCTCCTTGAAAGGACCCAAGATGACTTTTTTTAAAAGTAAGGATACAAAATAATTAAAAATGCATTAATTAAATATTTAAAACCATAGCATGCAAATGTTTTAAAATGTTGTTTAAAAACTGTAAGACAAAGGCTTGAAAACCCACAAGGCCTCCCCCTTTTAAGTGCCTGCTGAGTCTCCAGAAGCCTCACTAAACAGGTAGGGCTTGGATTACTGGTGGAACGGAAGGAGGAAAAGGGCCAAGTGAACCTCCAGAGAAAGGGAGTTTCATAATCTGGGAGCAGCCAGAGAAGTCTTCTCTTGAGTCTTCATCAGCTGTGCTTATGAAAGTAGTGGGACCAAGAGAACTGATCTAAGTACTTGTGGGGGCTAGTGTGAGTAGAGGTATGCAAATGATACGTACCATGACGTCTAGGACACATTTTAGTGCTACTCAACACATTTTTTAAAAAATAAGGCAAAATCAAAACTTGATGTTTCCCTTTCATGTTGATGTCTCGATCCTTTCTTGTCAGCCTCCACTGAAATACATTATCCTGTTGCAGCGCCTTAACTGCCGTTGCAAACACCTTTGAAATATGTTGCAGTGGGATGTGGTTGATTGCTGTATGGATGTGAAAATGTTTACAGAGGTATATTACTGTGCCCACAACCATTGTAAACATTCAGCTTGTGGAAATTGGCTTTCAGGGAATCTGAGTTAAATCTGTGTAGCATGCCTATACTTTGGATATAATGTAATCATTAAAGGATCATCAAAACTACAAGATTATAGATTTGAGAGGAACTCATTGTGTTAGGTTCAGATTCTCCTGTCTCAGAATGTCTTCCTACATTTGCAGTACAGTGGATAAACAACCGTACTATCTCAGCCTGGGTGCTTTTGCTGCTGATGAATGGCTTTAAAAAAGAATATGCTGTGCACTTTCACACCATTATATACTGACAGTGCTGTGCTGACAGCAGCAAAATCTTTTGCCAGTAAGCAAATAGGACTTGTGTGCTTTTAGAATTGATAGAGGAATTTAGGATACAAGATGTACCCTTTTTGAGTGGGATCTGTCAAAGACTTATTGCTCTTCTTTCAGCAGCACCTGGCTGGAATTTCCACTTTAGTTTAATTTTAATGGCTTAATTAAAAAATGAATAAACTAATTGCCCATTTTTGTTAGTATTTCTAATGGCCATTTAACGGGTCACCTTATTTTATTTTAAATCTGGGGTTTTCCTTTTTTGAATTTTGTTTTCACTTTTGGCTATCACACTTACCTAGAGCACAGTCTTAAGTGGGCAAGTTGGTCAAAGGCTATTTGAGCCAATGTCCGGCCAGCTGAAGCTGTGTTGAATCAAAAACCCAAGTGTTGGAAATTGTCCTAACTTTGTGCTGGTGGTATGGCTGTTTCTGTGGGCTGGAAGATGGTTAGATCCGGCATAACTCAGCTCGAACTTCATGCTGTCCCTTCTCTGTCATTGTTCGGGGTTTTCTGCCAGCAAATTATTCTGTTGGCAAATCTCTGAGCTTGACCAATGAAGAGCATGTGTTCTAATGAAAAAGGCATGCACCTCATTCTAACCTGCACATCTTTGAGCTAGGATTACTGTTTTTTAACTGTAATTTATTTTTTCATCTGAAGCTGGGAATTTATGGTTGTAGGTTTTTCAGGCTGTTTGGCCATGTGGCTACCCAGCCACAAGGACCGGTGATCACTGCACACAAAAGACTAGCTACCGACACCCATCAATCACAGTGACAGATCATCTCCCCCCCCCATCACAACAATACACCTATAACAAAAAAAGAACCCTAATCACCATAATCACCAAATCTCCTGAAAAAGACAAAAAGCTGATCCCACAGCTACAAAATACTCAACTACATTACACCAGAACAGAGACAGAGTTCTGATTCCTGTCCTTTGAAGATGCCAGCCAGAGATACTGGCTAAACCTTATTAAGAAAAACCTTCAGAACATAGCCAAACAGCCCAAAAACCTACAATGACCATTGGATCCCGGCCATGAAAGCCTTTGAGAATTCACTGGGAATTTGTACTCAGGAAAGGAGATGTTTAGTTGATGTTTCTTGGCACTTAACAAGCTATGATTTCCAGAATTCTTTTCATGACACATTTTTACACTTAAGATAACATTAAGATGAAACTGTTAAGATCAAATCAATATGATTCAGATAGAGGACATTATCTGAAAAGGTAGAGGAAGTTGAAATCTGAACAAAAATTGGTTTTCAGCAGGGACAGAGGCCTGAAATGTGAAAACACTCTTTCTTAAGATGTCTGTTTTTGTATGCATGTCTGTGCAGCTGTTGCATATTGACAGTGAATCTGACAGAACTGTTGCAACACAAGACACTTTCTAAGTAATACATGTTATTGATTTTTGAAGTAGTACACTTTCTTGATATTGGTGAACTAGGGAGAAATACTGCTTTCCCTAAAGAATGTGGAAAACAAGTAAGAACACTCACCACTAGCTAGAGTTAGGATGATCTAACAATTGGGTTTTCTCCCATGTTTGACATTTTCAGACTTTTAATGTTCTTTCTATCCTGAATTGGGAGGTAAATCTTCACTTGTCTTATCCTCACATGTTATGATGAGGAGCCACAAAGGAGCGCCTCCTCCTGTGAGAAGGGAAGGTATTTTTGTACTACACTCAACAGAGAACAAGAATTGGGATGATTTTTTTTTAGCAAATAAAAGAAATTTGTGCAAAATGACAATAGCTGCTGCTTTGTTGCATTTTGCTGCATCGGAATGCTTGGTGTTTGTGCTTTGCTTCTCAAAGGGACAGGACCCTAGTTCTACACAGGACAATTTCTGCAAACTACAACAGACCGTGATGGCAAAATTGATAATAAAACTCCTTGTATTGTTCTTACCTGAAGGCAAGGAATCTTCGGGTAGTTGTTGTGGGTTTTTCGGGCTATTTGGCCATGTTCTGAAGGTTCTTCTTCCTGACTCTGTGGCTGGCACCACAAAATGCAACATTCACACCAGAATGAAAGAACATGAGAGACACTGCAGACTAAAACGACTGGAAAATCAGCAGTAGGTGAACATGCGCTAAAACAAGCTGGACATGAAATTCTATTTCAAAATACTGAAGTACTGGACAACACCAGCAGTCATTATATTAGACTGCACAGTGAAACCATTGAAATCCATAAACATCAACAGAACTTCAACAAAAAAGAAGGCCTCAAACTAAACACGGCCTGACTCCCAGTACTGAAAAATACAGCCTGCAAAAGGTCAATGAACTCTACCCAGCTACAAGGACCAGGGATCATTGCACAAAGACCAGCTATTGACACCCATCAATCACAGTGACAGATAATCTCCCCCCCCCATCACAACAAAAACACGCTGATCACCCTATCTCTTGAAAAGGACAAAAGCTGTTTGTCCACAGCTATAAATACTCAACTACCCAACAAACAGGAACAGAGCATGGACAGAGGTCCTACTCCAGTCCTCTGAAGATGCCGGCCACAAAGACTGGTGAAACATCAGGAAGAACAACCTTCAGAACATGGCCACAGAGCCCGAAAAACCCACAACAGCCATCAGATCCCAGCCATGAAAGCCTTCGAGAATACATTGAATTTTTGGGTACTTGAAAATTTCTTTTTTACAGCAGCTTGTTGAGTTGAGACAATATAATCCATCAAGGAGGAATTAATAACTATCACTGAGTATGGAAAGATCATTTTGCCTGCTATATGGATGCCAGAGGACCATCTCAGAAAAATAAATAAAGAGTTTATGACTTTAATATACTCTTAACATGGTGAGAAATGAAATCAAAGTTTTAAGAACGCAAAGCTCTGAAGCTGGAAGGACAGATCATTCACTGTTGGTTTCACTTTCGGTTTATTTTTCAAATCTCAAATTCACTGGATGTCATGTACTGTATTAAGTAAATTTTCTGCTCATTCATCTCTATCACTTTTTGTTTTGTGCTCAGGACTGGTCTGGACAACCACAGGGCAAGGTCTGCAAGTTGGACAGAAGGTACAACACGAAGGACAGCTCCCAGTGACCACCCAGCTTTGACAATGGGTATTGCTGAACTGAGACCTCTTACATTGCTGGCTGAGGATTACTTCCTCCCAACTCACCTTGCTTTCTTCCTTCGGGAAGCCTTCTAAGGATAGTTCCCTAGAACTTTGTCCTCTCTCTGGGACTCATGCTGTGGGTACAGGATTGGCATACTCTATTGTGGAGCTCTCCCAGAGTGGAAACCAGGCATCAGAGGATCATCATTCTCCTGGGCATGGAGGCCTCAGGTTCATGGGAAATGGTTTGGGTCAGGTCAGGAGGACACAGGCCTAGCTGACTTGAAAGATCCTTTAGACTGGCTCCTCACTCTCTGCATTCATGGCCAGGTTCCTGTTGGACATCTGGGACATGGCATTTTGTTGATGTCCCTTGTTGTTGTTCTTTTAATCCATTTTGTGTAACCAAATCTAAGACACATTTACTCTGGAGAAAGGTATGATCATCATCATCATGTGCCTCGAAGTTAATTCTTTTTCAGGGTTCTACAGGTAGATTCAGAATGGTTTACCATTTGCTTCTTGGTGCCCTGGGACTTCATTTTGCCCATGACTACACAGGCTGGCTATTCAGTTAAATCTTTTTCAGGGTTCTACAGGTAGAGAGTATTCAGAATGGTTTACCATTTGCTTCTGGGGGTGTCCTGGGACTTCATCTTGCCCATGACTACACAGGCTGGCTCTTCTCCCTGGAGGCACAGTGGGAAATTGAACTCGCCACCTCTGGCTTCTCAGGCGGATACCTAAACCACTGACCTTGGAGAAGGGTATAACATTTGCTATAAATGACTAACATTGCAGAGTTATGAAGAAATAGCCTGATGATCTCTTATACTACAGTCCTGTAAGATCATGAACATACTGTATCTTCCTGCACCTTTGAGGTCATGTGCCAGCAGATCCCTCTTTAGTGCTTCTTTAATTGTTCTCCTTTCTTGTAGTAAGTAGGGACCAAGTGATCCCATTCTGCTTAATAGCACACAAAAATTCAGCTCATTATTGCAAACCTGTATTTGTTCTAATAAAAATATATTTTTTAATCGTTTGCGGCTCTATAGCTCTTGTTTTTGCTGCCCTCCATACTGCCAGATTCTTTTTGTCTGTTTATTTCTGGGAACCATTTGTTAATGGATTCTCAGCTCACCACAGCCCCAAAAGTGATGTGCAACAACCTACCTGAAAATATAATTTAAAAACAGTTCAAAAGCCAATGTTAAAAGCCAATTTCTTTTCTTTTCTACTTTTTTTAAATAGCCAGATGAGATAAAGTTTTGACCACCCTTAGAAGTTCAGTGAGGAAACAGCAGGCCTAATTACCCAAACTCTGGGTGCAATCAGATGAGGACATGAAGATCTGGTTTGTGCCAGAAATGGTCACTTCCAGAGTGCGATCTTAAAAGACGCCCTTTAAAGCAACCCTTCCATCTAGTCCCAATTGCGTCAGCCCATTCCAAAAACAATGCAGTCCTACCGCTGGTTTGAATATATGTTTTCTTATCCCTGGACCTGCTGCTGATCAATTTTCTCAAACTTGTAGTACTAGCATCATTTGTATAAGAGAGAAAAAACCCTTTATCTGCATAGTTCATAGTTTTATAAATTCCGTTTTATAGCCTTCCTTAACCATATGTTTTGTTTTATGCCTCTAATAATTTTGTCACATTTCGCTGTCATAGTTAATAGCTCTTGATAGACCTGTCCTCCATGATTTTCCTTTCTAAGAGTGAAGACATGTGTAATTAAAAAGAAGCCACAGCAAGTTCTCTTCCCCATAGCATGAGACCAACTTTTTAGTTTTCATGGCATGCATATATGTCTGTAAGTCAAAATCGCTTATTGGTCCATCCATTGGGCTAAATCCTCATTCTGTGCTTCAGTCAAGCATTCAAATGTTTATTCATTTATATGATCATCCTTCACATGAAAACACAAACAGTCACAAAACATTTTTGAAAGATGCAAGATGGCAACTGAAATTGATGGGAGATGATTAAATGATGTTGGGGATTAACTAATTGGCACCCCCTCCATTGTTCTGTTCAGAATGAAGGAACAAACTTAGATTTGTATGGTTTACTTTTGTCAAGATTCATGCTGGGAGAGGACTCCTGGATTCAGCTTTGGGCTCAAATGCACTACAGTTTAAGATATTGAGAGTCTGGGACATGTCTAGAATAGAGCAACCAGGATTATAAAGAGTTTGGATCATGAAGAATGGTTGAGGGAGTTGGTCATGTTCAATATAAGGAACAAGGGACTGTATTATGGCTATCTTTAAATACTGGAGGGGCTGACGTGGCAGATTGAATGAGATTGTTTTCTGCACCTCTGAGAATAAGAGCGAAAGTAATGGGCTTAAATTACAGGAAAGAAGATTTAACCTCAGTGTTCAGAAGTTATTCCTAACAGTGAGAACTGTTTGATAATGGAATGGAGTATCTTGTAGGATGGTGGATTCTCCAACACTGGAAGTGTTTCAACAGAGGTTGGATTTCCTGCCTTGGCAGAGGGCTGGATTCAGTGACTCTTGTGGTCTATTCCAGCCCTTGTGTGTGATTCTGGAGAGGATAGCATAAGAAGGCAACATGGAAAACAAGAAGAAAAAAAACAGAAGGTGAAAAAAAGATAAATTTTCAGAAACTGGTATCCATTACCATCTCCCTCAATGGAAAATCTGACTTCTTGATTTTTGTTCTGTTTTATTCTGTTTTGAGTTTGCTGTGCTAGGTGAGAATTCAATTTTCAAACATTCATGTAGCTGTTCTCTTCAAACCTTATCATAGGGGAAAGCTGGAGCGGGGGAGTACAATCACAGATGAGATTTTCCAATATCCTTCTGGACTAGTAAATTTTTTTACTATGCTGACATAAATATGCCAGTTAAAAATAAATGTGCATGTTTAAAGTTTCCCTTTTGAATGCAAATGTAGTTTAATTATATTTTAGCTTATTAACAATTCAATCAACATGCGGCCATTTTTCAACAACTTGTCAATCTCTGGCTACAGCAGAGCTCATCTGATTTCTGGCATAAATATTGCATAAGAATGTAGGAAGGATTTTGTTAGCTCTGAGACTCTTGAAGTTTGACTGATATTGTATTGGTATCCATGAGAGATTTTCTTGGAAAAGTTAAGCACTTTTTTTTGGCCTCCTCCCATTAATTACTTTCTTTAAAAATCAGGTTGCTGGTGGTGAAGAAGTCCTCCATAGTTAGAGTACGTACATGGGGTCACGAAGAGTTGGACATGACTTAATGACTAAACAACAACTCTAACTACTGACTTCTGCCTAATGGTTGCTGTCAGTCAGATCAGGTTATCCTGGGCATCTGGTCTGGTTTAGTTTAAGGCAGCACCATATGGCTCCTGTCTTTAAAGAACGTGGGCATCTTTGGCATTTCAGTTGTTTTGGCCTACAATTCCCAACGGCTCCATGCAGCAGGCTTAATGGTAATAGACTGGTCCTGGAAAGTAGTGGGGCAAAACAGAAACCAAAGGTCCCCATACCTGCCCAAAATCCAGATGGACCTCATGGTTCGCACATGTGGTAGTAAATTCTATCAAGTTGTTATCTAAGGTTGCAGTTTGACTCTGCAACGCCTCCTGGTGTTTCAGTGGGAGCCCTCCTGGGTGTCCTAGGGCACCTCTATCACCTCAAATGAAGACTCCCTGTACTTCACCTTGGGGTATTTTACACTGTCCAGCAACCTACTCCTGGCCTGGCCACAGAACAACTCCTTCATGATTCCTGATGGAAGCTTTTCTTTCTAGCTTTCAGAAGGAGGATCCTTCTAGACGTTGCATGGGAAGTGTCTGGAGAGTGCCATCTTTGAGTTGTTGGAGAGTATCTCCCTCCAGCCCTAAGCACTGGAGCCAATGATGATGGGCGATAGAGACTACAATGTGCCAACAACTGGAAGGCCATGTGCTCTCTACCCCTCCTCTAAGGGAAGGTGGGATGTATGATGTAATGGCCTTGGTATCATGTCACTTTTCCTGTCCAAAGGTTCAAGCAAATGTACTGGTGTGTCAAGGACAGAAGGGATGCGGGCGGAACAGGAAGTGGCTTCATGAAATCAACCAGCAGTCATTAACAATCACAATCAGAGGGACTGTAGCTCTGTGACAGAGTACAAGCTGTGCCTCTAAAAGGTCCCAAGTTCAATCCTGGGCGTTTGCAGTTAAGAGGATCAAGTGGTAGGTGATGTGGAAGACCAGTGCTGGAAGGCTTGAAAGATACACTGCCAGCTAACCTACATAATACTGGGCTAGATGGAGTAAAGTGCTAACATTATATAAGAGGGTTTCCATATATAGCCTGCTGTTAAGCTGTCCTTTTTTAGAATGGCCACTCCACGACACCCCAGCCTACATGGGCAGGCTGACTGGGGGATTCCTGGGTGCTGTCGTTTTTGTCTTCTCTGCTCTTCACACATGCAGAGTGCCAGTCTCAGGTTTGAGTTCATTAATACGTCCCATTGCAAAGGACCTAAGCCTCCCGAGGGCCTTTCAGTATTAAATTCTTTGGTAGCGATGTGTGGCACAGTTATTTTTGAGAATAATATTCCAGGGCGACATTTTCACCTGCCTCGTTTCTGTGCTAAGCAAACGAAACAAAACAAACACAACTTATTTTGCAACCACTGCTGCTCACGTTTGCCTCTAGTCTCGCATAAAGTAGACAGGAGGTGGGAACGAACACGTTGCCGTGACATTCATTACTCGAACACGAGGCTTCTATTCTGGTAGCTCTCAATACCAGGTGCCACTCTCGGTGGCAGGTGGTAGGTTTTAATCAGCAGCTTTGCATTGCTTCGTATGTTAGCCTTGTTATTTTTATCCTTCGTCTGTGTGTGTGTGTGTGTGTTTTGCTCCATTTCTTATTTGAGCAGCTTCTAAATTACTTGATAATTAATGCAGCAGCTCTGCCTTCTTGAATGCAGAGGCAGAGCTGCTGCAGTTCTTTCAGTGACAGCTATTTATATACGTGGAGTGGCCTGTGCTTTCCTCCCCCATATTTTGAAGCTGGGAGCATCTCTGCTGCTAGCCCTCCCGCCCTCCCCACCTCCGTCACAAGCAGATCTTTTATTTCTCATACACTGGTACATTTTCCTGCATTTGTGGAGACGCTCAGCTTTGATCCAGATGGGGGGAGTGTTGCATTGCCACGTCTAATTCCTTCTCTCCTATCAAGCTTTGCTGCAGCCTCTATCACAGCATTAATTACACCTGCTGGGCTTCCCAAATAATGTGAATACATGGGGTAGCGACGTGGGAGATGTCTTACTGTGATTACTAATGACTTCAGGCTGCTGGTCAGTTGTGTCTTTGCAGTCCCTTTTCAGATCAGATTTGCTGTGGCTGCAGTTTTGCCACTTAATTTCACTGCAGTTGAGCAATGAAAAGCACTCTTCTTTAGAAGCAATGTTATAGCACTTAACAGGAGTCACGAAGGTATGCTGTAGCTCTTTGTGTAATTGATAGATCATTCAGGGTCTTTGAAATTGTATAATATTTTGATCTTCTTTCCC